TTCGAAGTTTCGGGTTGCGCCAAGGGACTCATCAGAAATACTTCGCAAGGCTCCAGGCCAAGAGGCAAAATAGAGCATTGTTGAATCACCTGCGCTGTTTGCAGGGAAGCTGTCCTTTTGAAAGAAGTCCCGCATTCGCGTCGGTGCTTACAGGAACAACGTGCTTGTCAGCCCGGTATGGGGCGCATCTCGGCTCAAGGTCCATCATCTGCCCGCACATACACCATGTGAGCAGCTTGTGTTGTTTGTTCCGCTAGTCTTCAGGTACTGCGGTGGCCACAAAACTTACACAACAGATCTGACGAGAAAGGTTCGTGGGCCGTTCAAGGTGCGAAGAAAATGTTCCAGGAGTAGAAGATGACTTCACGGAAGCGAAAAGGTTCGCGGAAGGTTGGCGGATGCAACATTTTGCAGTATGTCTCAAAAAATGCAGGACGCTCTGGGCCACGGAAGGGGTTTTTGCGTCTTAAAGATTTAAAATGGAACAAACACCGACGCCCATGTTTCTTTTTACCAGCGCCAGTCATGCCTGGCAAGGTCGACCTGCATTTCCTCAGCGGCCACTTTGATGACCCTGATATCATTTTGATATCATTGGCAGTGGAGCTATTACTCCTCTTTCTGAATCACCACCACCATACCGACCACGGACACTACTACTCCTACTACTCCTGCTCCTACTACTCCTGCTGCATCCTGCTGCTGCCCGTCAACTAGTTCCTGGCGGAGGAGCAGGGGTAGCAGAAGATCACACAGAGCCCGCACGTAGTTTTAAAGCCCGGCTGACATGCGATTTCCTGAGGCTTTGCACGCATGGGGTGTATGCGGCCTTCCTATTTCGGGCCTCTGGCCTGGTAATGGGCGGCCCAACTGCATGTGGCTTCTTTCAAACCTTTTGTAGTTCTTCCTTCCCCTGGACTGGATTTCGCTTCTTCTGGCATTTCAAAAGACTGTAGCATATATATGTGCAGGTGACTTGGACGTCTTCAAGATGGTAGAAGCTGCTCTTGGTATTGTGGGAGGAGACAATAGGCGGGGCCTCAGCGGAGCTGTTGCTCTCTTTCTCTATATAGTCCCCCATAAGTAGATAGAATATGGCTCTGAGTATATTACAATAAGATCCCCATATACCCCATATTCTATCTACTTAAGGGTGACTAAAGAGAGAAAAACCCAAGTTATAGCCAGGCAATATCCTTCTGATTACTATTGAGGAATTTGACAGTGTCAAAGTATATCCATTTTGCCATGGCTGACACATAAATAAGTTCAGGATGTGGCCAAGAGCCAAACTGCGGCAAATAAATTTCTACATACATCCACGCGCGCCTATATACATGTACTTCACATCTGAAAGGGGGGGGGCTCTTCCTGCATCATACTACGAGGGCAAGTTCAATTTCTTCCTGCTTTAGTACTCCCTGCCGGATCGCCCGAAAATCTGACATCGCTCTTCTCAGAGATTGGGAGATGTCATCAGCATATTGACGCCTGGGAGCTGTGGGGAGTTACCTCGGGGATTATATGAGCTATAGTCTAAACTCCTTAAAGGGGGGTTCTATAGGGGATTACTATAGGGGTTACTAAGGGGGATACTAGGAGTTTAGACTAGAGCTCATATAGAGGGGTATTGTATGGATTATCAGTGGGGAATAATTGGAGTTTAGACTATAGCTCGTGTGTCCAAAGATACACCTTTGCATGTCAGGTTGAAGTAGCGATCAGGAAAGGTGACAGTCACGACATGGTCCCACAAGAGGGGGACCCTAATATCCCAAAATACTATAACCCTTATTATAGGGACCCTCAAAAAGGTACCCCTCCTTTTGGGAAATCCCCGCATGCAGGATTGAGGACCTGCTGAATACCAGATGGCCTCTGCTGCTTGACTACGATATTAAACCCCCCACCCACCCCCCCTTAATATTAAATACTCCCCATTATGGTGTATATTATAATAGAGTTGGGGGTGGGGGGGTTTAATATTAGGCGGAGGGGATTACGCAAAGCACTTTGCCAGGAAGCTGCTCCTTACTTATCTTCACCTGGCTGGTTGTAAGCCAACTGCCTGTCTTTATCCTCTTGTGATTACGCTTAAGCAGCTACAAAAGCCTGGAAGAATTGAAGGTTGCAGACCTCATGCACAGGACCTGTGGATGCGTTTGCCACAGATGTGCCTCAGCATGATCAAGCTAAGCCACCACGACCTCGGCTAATTCGCGCAGTTGTCAGTCCTTGTAACTCGGGCAGGGCACCGGCCGCGTCTCCTGGAAATTTTGCGGGCACACGCTGTAGTTTCTCTGCTAAGGGTCCACCTGTTTGGACGCCATGCCGTACACCCTCCCCCACGACATGTACCTTAGATAGACTCGCGCTCCACAGCCCTCAACCCGGAGAATGCCCTTTAAGGCCTCAGAACCTTAAATCAGCCGGCGAACAGATCAGGTTACATCTGATGCATCGGCGCCTTGACTGCAAGAAGATTTCCAATCAATTTCGGACAAAGTATGCAAGTTTCAGCCATCCTGTCGCAGGCTTTGGGGTCATAAAGACCTTCTGCACAAATCAGGTTCTCCTGCATGAAGAGAAGATGGGACGACTTGGCATTTGCGCCCGCTGCGCCCCAGCTGCATTGCAAGCGCTGCCCCAAGCTCGCATTGGGTTTGCAAGCTCCAAACACCTCCTCACAATCACAATTGCAGGAATGAAAAGAAGCGGAGCAGCACCAGTGCTGAAGCTTCATGTTGCGAGGTTTTGTAAGCTTTATCAAAACTTCTCGCCGCCAACTGAGGACCTTACGCGCTCTACCTCACCTGCTGGAGATCAACCGGGGCAGATGCTCCTGTGCCTTAGCGGCGCTTTTAAGCAAAGTTCGGCCCCATGTCGTTTTGGAAGGAGCCTGTTCCCTAGCGGCGGAGGTGGTGGTGGTGGTAGTGGCGGCAGCGGCGGAGGCGGCGGTGGGGTTGGTGATGGTCACCGGCGTCGCCGTCGTAGTCGCGGTCGTCATGGTCGTCATCTCATCACTTGAGTACATGTACTACTTGCTGTAGTACTAGTAGCAGTTGTAATACTTATGGCACTCGTAGTAGTATTCGAAGTCTTAGCAGTACTAGTTGCAGCAGTACTGGTAAGAGCAATGGTGGTGGTAGCAGTACTACTACTTCTATAGCTTCTACTTCCACTTCTATCCTCACTACGACTACGACGACTGTTACGGCTGCAGAGGTTTCACTTGTCACCGGCTGCGAAGCGGGCCGCACGTCTTCTGGCCATGGGCTTCCCGGGGCCTGTCGCCTGGCAAATGGCAAAGTCAGGGCCCAAAAGAGCTATACTCTAAACCTCTTACAGAGGGGTTATATAAAGGGGATGATATAGGCAGCATTATAGGGGTTATTAAGGGGGGATACTCGGAGTAGACTATAGTTCGAAAGACAACTAGAGCATGGCTCTAGAGCATCTTAATGCAATCAGCATTTGATGATTATGCGGGAAATATTGGATGGTTGTCAAAATGGTCCCTTTTTGGATCCCTTTTATAATATGGCACCTAATATTTAGGGTACCCAAATAGGGACCATAATTTTGACAACCACCCACTCACCATAGTCAATTTTGTAGGATTTTTTGAGCTCGTCTGGTATTTGGTTTGGATGGGCCATAGTATGGAGGTATAAAAAGAGGAAATAGATGGACAGATGGGAATGTTCACGCGGCTCTATCTAAATCGGGGTTTGTTCCGAAGGCTGCGATAAGCTTCATATAGGGCTTCAGAGTGGTTGCGCGGGTTATCAACTGCTTGAGGTTCCTTAAATGCATGGGCCCGTAGGTTTGAAACGGCCTTACTTATATAGAGATTTATTTGCGTTGTGCAGCACGTTAAGGTTTCTCAAAATTGTGGAACACCCGTTTCGTGGGGACTTTGCTCCGGGGAAACTTGACTTTTGGATGGATTTTTTTCATGCAGGGAGCGCTTCTGGTTTGACGAGAACTAAGCAGTTGGACAGGAGACCATCACAAACTGATGGCACTGCCGCAACGGCATCATGTACTCAACGAGCTTAGGAGACAGGTGCTGCTAGTAATGCTCAGGTTGAGGGTTAGGAGCTGTGCTTGTGGGGGGCTGATTTGAGGTTGCCGCTTGAAATTGTGCAAGAACATGTATCAGATGTCTGGTTGCTTTTCCCGACTTACAGGCTCCAAGGGATGTGAATGTTTAGGCCACGCTATCCTGGAATGTGCACCTGGATGTCATTGAACCAGAATCCCCAAGACAAACAAGAAGCGGAGGCAGATTAGACCTATTCCTGCCCTTCGCCAGTCCTTCACGCCCTACTTACCCAAAATAGGATGCGTCAGGAATCAAGTCAGTAGGTTCCGTTTTTCCGTGATAAACCACAATAAGACAGTAGCTGCGAGTTTCTTTTCTATCAAAACCTCCAATAAGACCGTAGCTTCCATTTTTTCCTTTCCATTATGACCTCAAAGGTAATACAGTAGCCTCCAAGTAGTTTTTCCAAGCGCTAGCTTCCATTTTCCCTTCCATTGTAGCCACCCTTAAAAATACAGTAGTTGCCAGTTTCTTTTCCAGCAGAAACCCCCCATAACACAGTAGCTTTCCGTGATTTGGAACGACTGTCGCAACCACTAACATAGTCAGATACTTGGAAACTGCTGAGGTCTTAGTGTCCTTTGTCTCCTCAGCAAGGGCGAAGTATCTGCCAGGCTTCATCAAGCATGCAGAGCGCAACTGGAACAGCAAACCCAAAACCCTAAACCCAAGGAATTGATATGGGGGTTTCTCAAAATTAGGGGTACCTTTTTTGGGGGGTCCCTGTGGAAGCTACACATGCTTGCAAAACTTGAGAGTTTGATTTGATGGCTCCATTCTTGCATTTGCCTGGCAGACACCTGAAGGATGAAATAATTTCATAGGGCTAGACAGGGAGATACTGCGAGATGACAACGGCCGTACCTGACGATTGGTGCATCGAGGTCTTGGCATGCTGGGCCGGACGCTCATTCTGCCGCAGAATTCCGCCATCCTGCAAGACTGCTCAAACTTGGTGGATTCATGCCTTCCAGTCCTGCTCCCAGGCTGCAATCTCTGACACAGGTGCAGGGCAGCTGAAGGTGGTGTCCAGATCTGAAAGCATGAATCCCAGGAGTTCACATCAAGTAGATCGAACATTCTCTTCTCACTTATTCGGTAGTATGTGGTTCCAAGAATCCGAGTTTCCTTTTACTTCTACGCCCAACTGCGGACACCTCCCCAAGAAGGGACCCCTTAGCTTTGGAAACTCAAATGGGCCACCGCCTAGGTCTGTGTTTCCAGAGTTAGCCAAGTACACGCTGCTTGCTTTCGCTGCTATGCTGGGAGTCAACGTTCTCTATGCTGACCTGGACTGGGCTGAAAGACACAAAGTGGGCAGGCATATGCGGCTGTACATCTGGCATGGGCATGAAATCCAGGGTGTGTAGCCAACAGGACACCTACTGGGCGCAGAACCCATTTCGGCTGCTTCCGAGACATGATGACCTTGATGCAGCTGACGTGGCTCGGCAGCATGTTGGAGGCGCAGTTGTCTACGGCGGCTCCCACGCGCAGTAATTAAGTACGTCACGAGGGCCCGTCTTTCGGACATGGCCTTTCGATATACTTCGAGCAATGTAAAAAGCTGACCAGAGGGCCACCCATGCATTAGCAACGAGGTCTACGTCCCCATTGAGTTCTACTCGAACCAGACTCGTCCAAGCGTCATGCTGGTGCGGTCGAGGCTTTTTTGCATGTAGCCCATTTTGCACAGAGCTGATTTACCTGTAGCATGTTGGCATTGCTTGGACCTGTGATGGAGCTTGAGCAGCTGCACCCGCAACTTGTGCGGCGGCGCCCTGGATCATTAACGGATACAACACTAATGTTTCTATTTCCCGTCGCTTCAGGAACGAGCGGAGTCGACGGACGCTGGCTAACATGGCCATTTGGCTACTCAGATTCCCGTTCATAGCCGCGGAGAGTGGCAGCTTGCTTCCAGAAGAACGACTGAACATGCAAAACCAGTGTTCTTCGTGTTCGTAGCACTATACGAAATTCTTTTATGAGTTGTCCAGCTTGCAGCTGAATGCACGGCGCATCATTCATTCCGCTACCAAGGAACATCAGGCACAACGTCCCTACCAGTATTAGAGATAGCAACCCTGCTAGTAGCCACAAAAATGCTTAATGTTTTTCGGCGCGTCTGTCCTACTTTGCATAGGAAGAGCTGAAAGGATATTTTAGCCATGCTAGCTGCAAAATGCAGACCCATCTGCAGGCATTCGCCACCTGCTAGAGCCAAACCGACCAGGCCGGCTGGCTGTTGGGCCAATTATAAACCGTAAATCCTTAATGGTAGCTTCTGTTTTCTTTTCCATTACACTTAAAACATAATCCCTTTCTAGCCCTGAACCCTACATGCCTATATAATACCCCTAGTGGATACCTACGTTGAGGGCATAAAGTAGTACTAGTTAGGTCAATCCCCCCACCCAGGAATGGGTACCACAAGGGACTGTTGTAATTAGGTATGTTAAGGCCTTATTAACTCCATAATAAGGAGCTATTACCAAAAGGGGATCGACCTAAAGTACTAGTAGGTCACGATAAGTTTACCTAACCTGAGGGTCCCTTAAAGTAGGAACCCAGCCATTTGTGTTCGGCTTTGCTAGCCATATGAATAGGGTTGGTTTTGTGGTGCTGGTAATTGTCTCAGAATACGATCTGTTCACTCAGTCCTGTTTGCATGCGACAGCTGCAAATATTCCGCGCAATGGGTGCCTGAGCGCCCCTCATCATGTTTCAAGGTTAGTGCTTCTCTAGGGCAATTACAGGAGGGGAGTTGCAATGTAGTGAACCCTCAGAAGCCATAAATACCCCTCATATCCCTCCCATTGCAAACTCCCCTCCTGTACTTGGTCCTAAGTTTCGTAATTTATGCATACTATTATATAGCTCTTTGCCTGAGGCTATGTGCCATCTGTGTCCTTCCTGAGACCTGACGACTCTGGGCTGCAGTAAAGGAACTTAAGTTAAGTTACTCTAGTAAGGAAACCCTATTATTCAGGGTTTAGGCCTTTAAGGGTTTAAGCTTGCAGGAAACCCTTTAATGCATTATGTACCCATATTATTGTAATTCAATTTAAGTTCCTCAACTAAACGGGTTCTAATGGGAACCCCAAACAGGGAACCCCAAGAATATAGTAGAACATAAGGACCCTGGCAGGTATATTCCTACTATATTCTTGGGGTTCCCTGTTTGGGGTTCCCAGTACAGTCCCTTTATTGACAGCAACCCAGGACTCGGAAGAGCATGGTCCGCTCGAGCTTGGCGTCTTTGACTCGGACTGCCGAAGAAGCTTCCAAGGGAGGTAAGGTAGAAGCGCAAATAGGGGTTATAGGGTTTAGGGTTTCAAGGGGTTATATAGGGACGTATGGAGATTGTCTGGGGTTTAGGGATAGAACCCTAAAAACGGAGAATCAAGTGGGCAAGAAAACGGAAGATGAAATGGAAACTGTGTTTATGCAGCGGCTTCTTCATCGGAACAATAACCAACATCATGGTTCTAGATTCCTTATAGAATTATCGTGTTCTTCTAGGGTACCCCAAATAGAACTCAAAATGCTTTCAGCAACTATCTAGAAGAGAAGACAAGGGTCTGCATACCAAGGGTGCTAAACTTTTCAGCATTTTGTGTGTTGGGGTCGGGTTTATATCGTCGTCTTGGTCACCTTGCATGGGGTTCGCTAGGTAGGATCCATGGGTGATGGTATAGGTAGGGGCATCCTTGGGAGGATTCCAGATCTCAATCTTACCTGAAGGCAGCCCTGACTTTGCCATGCAGTTCCCTGCAGTTCCGCAGGAATAGGTGTCTTCTAGCCTTCCAGTGAGGGAAGACTGGATTGGGGTTTGGGGTCAAAAGGGTGTAGGTTTTAGGGTGGCCGTCAAGACAGGCTTTCTGGGAGAACTCCGCCACAGCCAAGACACCGGACCATAGCTTTCATTTCTACGGGAGGAGAACCAGTTCATGACATTGGATGGCTGGTATGGGAACGTGGACTCTGTGGTGGCTCTGGAGTTGGGGGCGATGTACTCCGAAGAGTCAAAGCGCTCTGTGTTGCTCTTCTTGTTTGATGCAGTTTCGGTTGGAAGTGCAGTTCAAGCCGCAGTAGCCCCTACCTAGCAATGGCAGCCATAGTCGAGCAAGGCCTATACATTGTTGCCTTCCCCTATAACATCAATTAAGCTCTGGACTGTGAAATTGATCTGCCAAATTCGAGACTGCAAAGGCTGAGAGTGTCGTTCCTGAGCTCTCTGCACGGGTGAGTTTTCGGGACCTTTCTGCCAAAGTCAACTTCCAGTGCAGTTCCAGGCATCCTGGTCCTGTTCCCACGATTTATCGACAGAGATCTTTTCCCGGCTTTCATTCATAAATAGAATCGCCCAGTGAGGCTGGACGCTGTCTACGTGACTGCACAGAAGCAGCCGGAAACTGGATCGTTGTCAGGATAGGAGTGTGCTAGCAGGGTCACTGTGAGCTCTTGACATCAGAGCTAGAGCATTATCTGACAAAACCTTGAACTTCACGATCCTGCCAATTGGGGAAGGGCTAGACAATATGAGGTCATATCATTAGCCTCGGAGCTTTGGTATGTCATGCATCACACTTGGTGACTCAACTGGCAGGGGTCACTGCCAAAGATCTTGCTGAGCCGTTGCTACCAGGCACAGAATACCATACCTCCGCATGGTAGGTTCCATAATAAATACGGGGACCCCAATTGGCACCCCAATATATGAAATGGTCCTATTATGGGGACCTTCAAAAAGGTACCGCTACTTTTGGGAAATCCCCACATACACAAAACAGCCAAGGAACATGCTCGCCAGTTGATCATGAGCGTGCAGAAGCATCTCGGCCCAACTCGGGCCCATCCAGATTTGGGGTTCACTAAACTTGGGGGTGCCATTTTGGGGGTCCCCATCATAAGGAATATTGTATATTGGGATCTATACTTGGGTCTGCCTACGTTGGGAAACCATCGTATGTCGAAGCTTGTGATCGTGGCAACCCTTTCCATGAGCAGCTGGCAACTATTGAGAGCACCAGGGCATGCCCCAAATGAGGTGGCAGAGGGACCAGTTTGAAGTATAAGGGAAGACATGGTTCACTGCGTCTTGCTGGACACAATTTGATCTTTCAGGCAGATGTCTCCAAAGCGCCCAATGGAGGTCCTGCAAGACGGTGCTGGTGCTGCAGGATCGGTGACGGTTCCGCCAGATGTGCCCCGGACGAGCTTCATCGGCTTCACCCCAACCAGAAGGGTGCCCCAACTTGAGTAGGTGACCTTGTAAACGGTGCTGGGGGCTAACTTTGTCAGCACTTGAAAGGCATCTTCGCAGTGGTCCATCCTGAATCCCAGCACCAGAAACAAAGCCCACAAAAACAATGTTTTGTTTTTCTGTCCGTTGAACAAGGCAGGGTCTGTTCGGCTAGATGGGAGCATCTTTCGGAAAGCACATGACCCAACCTCGCTGAGGTGCGAATTGTGCACGTGAACTTCGCTGACGGTTGCTGTGAGGTTGAGCAGGCCAAGTCATCCAGTACAGCAATGCAGTTTGGCGCAGCTTGGCAGAGTTGAAGGCTGCTGTCTCATTGGGCTGCTCGTTTTCTTGCTTCCAGCAAGTTTTAGTCGAGTGTTCTGAGCTGCTTTCATCAAGATCGGTATAGAGCAGAGCTGAAGTGAACCATCTCGTGAAGGAGCCAAGCAACAGTTTGAAATACGTTGCGTCGGTTAGTGGAGGAACGTTTCCTAGCACAAGAACTGAAAGCTTAGCGAGATGGCGCCTGCATGCGCTTGCCTATGACATCCCAGCAGTCTTTCTGTACACCATTTTCATGAACAGTTCATGGACACCATTTTCTTGAACAGATCATGGGCAGGGATTGCGAATAAGGTGCGCCGTGTATCGTTTAAGTCTGAAGTTTGTTCGTCATGTACAATGGAGAGCTGTCAATGAGATGCTGGCCGCGCACATGCTCAGGCAAACGAGTCGCGGCCTTTGAGAGGAGACTTTCTGACGTCGGATTTCCGTGCGCGCAATGCCCACTTGCTGAATTGGGTTCGTGGCAACTCGGCAGCTATGCCATGGATGAGAAGCAAATCTGCAGCTAGCTTGAGAGAAAGCACGACATGTTGGAGAGAGCTGTTGAACTGAAGCTTGACAGTATGTTGCATGGGTTAGAGGAGCGTGACCATACGTTTGCTTGGGAGGCCATGATCTCACCTCTGGAAAGACGCCTTCAGGCAAAGTGGGCTACTATGTTGCCTGGCCAAATTTCTAGGGCAAAGTTGATTTGTGATAAATGCGTATGGCGGAGGCAAGCAGATCAAGTGATCGTGTGAACAGCTGAGGAGCTGAGCGTCTTATGTCCCCCTAAGGGTCCAAGGACTCAAATAATAGGGTTTCAGGTGGCTCTAAAACCCTATTACTTGGGTCCTTGGACCCTTAGGGTTACTTTAAACTAGGACCCTATTGTTTCTAGACTTACAACTCGCCGAGGCAGCAGGATTCATAGTAAATTCCCAATGGACCAGTGTATACCAGTGTGCTCCTTTTCGAAGCAGGTATGGAAGCCCTTCGTTGTGCTGGAAACCTTGAAAGATCCCTCGATTGCGTGGAATGACGTCGCATCTGGGCTTGTATTGGGGAGATATTGATTACGGTATCGGGAGATTGCGTTTGGAATGTGCAGATACTAGGTTTTCTCAGCCGCCAATAAACCTTTCACTCAGGTGCTTTGGACGGACGCAGGCGTTCATTTCATCAACGAGCTTCTCGGCTGGTTTTTGCACAGCTGCTCCATGCGCTTGAGGACATGACATAAAGCAATAGACACATGAGAATAGTGGAACAAGAAGACACTATGGACTTGAAGTAAGGCATCTTGAAACTGCGAGGATATCACAGAAATAGACCCTGAGTGTGACCCATGCATAAGAGCAGTAAGAGCCCTTCCAAAAAAGGCAGGTCCCGTGAAGGACTCAGAGTGGAGAGGGGCCCTTGTTACATCATGCTTGGGCAAAGATGATGCAGCGCTCTCCGGGCTGCAGTTTGGTCCCAAAACTCTGAGGGGGTTTCATACTTCTTGTAAGCTGCACCCTGCCAATGTTTTTTGCCAATCCCTCCATAACCAACAATAACAGTTCTTCCAATGGTAGCAGTACGGGAAGCCAACAAGTATGGTTACAGTTACGATCACGATCGATCATCCATCCGTGGCAAAACTCATTGCACATCCCAGTAGCGCCAGTAGAAATGAAGAGGAGAGGGAAGAACAGAAATAGACGCAGTAACCCTGAAACCATCACCCAAACCCTTGATTAATAAACCCCCTCCCCTTAATAGGGATTATAAGAGGGATCCTAGTATTAAGGCCCTTAAAAGGAGGGGTTTTTATTAATCATGGGTCTACATTACCCTTTGTGAGGCTCAGGCCTCTCGTAGAGCGCTACCTCGCGGACAGCGACGTATCTGAGCCTTGGGCTGACAGGGTTAGGGTTTAGGGTTTAGGGTTTGGGCGTGTCTTTCAGTTGCAATACACATTTGTAACCACTATATGTGCTATAGTCTAAATTCCTTACAGGGGGGTTAAACAGGTGATTAAAAAGGGGATTACTGTAGAGCATATCAAGGGGGATACTAGGAGTTTAGACTATAGCTCATATTATATTGTCCTATATACCCCCAGATTCCATTTCATTTTCCATTCTATTTTCCATTTGATTCTCCATTAGTGGGGTACTATCCCTACATATCCCCTATATTCTTCTTGTGAAGCCGAGGAGGTTCCCCTGTTGTGGAGCTCGAATGGGTAACATGAGTCTGCATTCTCGTTCGTGCGATATCGTTGTCATGGGGTCGAATAGCGCCTTAACAGTCGTTTTGCGTGTTGTATTCCATGTGCCTTACTATAACATTCGGGTGCTAACTAAGATTCTGTTTGCCACCCAACCGGCGTCAACTAACTCGGACTTTTTGGAGTGCTTGTTTAAAGCCATGCTGATTATCTATTTGGCTCTGTCATCATGAGGACTACGACAAATGTTACAAGTCGGGCCCAAGCAAAAGGGCTATACTGCTAGCTGCAGGCGACGCAGACACCCATGATGGAGGCTGATGTGACCAAGCGTGCCGCGCGGACATCACCAGCGAAGTGCATTGTTGTGACCTTCTTGAAGTCTTTTGGTCCAAGCATGTCTCATTTGAATGTGTGAGAGAAACATACTGCAGACAGATCCGCTGTCTCATCCCAAAGGGCGCACCCCTGTGCAAATATTCGCAAGAACAGCTAGAACAACGACAGACATGATTTCATAATTGCGCACAATTAGAACCCTGGAGAAATTGAGGACGCCTTTTTACTGCTGGATGCCGACTATGCTGCCCGGCCTGGATTTAGATCCAGACTTTAGATCTTTGGTACCTTTGAAATCAGGGGACTTGTGGAGGGCTCAAAGGCACATAGAGACTCATCATATGGGCTTGCGAAGCAAGTGAGTGAAATTTCCGCAGCTCTTTCTCGTTTGTCTCTTTTTCTTACGCAGTCACGATCCTGTGCCCCAGCTCCTAGCGTAGGATTCTCGTACTCAAGCAGGAGCAGAAAGCAATTGCATAAATCCTACGTTAAGGTTCATGGAGGGTTATATGCAGGGTAATGCGATGACTACGGCTGTAGGCCAAACTAGCGTGCTTTGGTCGCCGCTCGTGACCACTTCGTGAACGTCCAAGATAAAGATAGAACTTAGGAAGCAGATCGTAAATCCTACGCCTGGTTCGAGAAGCAGACTCCGCAGCTTGTTCCTTAGAGTTTGTATAATCCCTTCCCCTATTCTTGAACAGCCCCCGTGTCACCCTTTGTGCTGAATATGCCGCAAAAGAGCCAAACTAAGCTGTAGGGTAGTTGAGGACAGATTTAGTATCAGCAGCGTGTAATATTATTGGGAACGTGTGCACATACCCTCCACACACCTCTAAGGACAGCATCCACCGAACCAACCAGATCGCCACAGGCAGGTTCAACGACAATGAATGTGGCCCCGACCCTTCCCTTACAACTCTAAGCCCTAAACCGAACGGGAACAAAGTTGATCAAGAGATCTGGATCAAGAATCTGTGGGAGGAGGAACCGTAATATGAGGGGAGTGATATTCAAGTCCACCACCCTGACCCTCAACCCTAGGGTTCAGGGCATGTTTTTCCATTCCTTACTAACCTGACCCCTGTTACCGTAGAGGTAGGCTTTCCGACTTGTTGGTTTAGATCCTTCCTAAATTCCCACCAACCTAGCTTTAAATCCCCGGAAGCTCTAGACTCCTAGGCCTCCAAACCTAAGCAGCTTTAAGAGCTTGCCCTCACTCCAAGATAACCGTAAATTTCGTTTAAGCCCGGACCCTTACCCAACCTAAAGGACTGTTAATTAGCAGGAACGGACCCTTACCCAACCTAAAGGACCCTTATAGATTGGCAGGAATCATCCTCGTGCGCAAGACCCCGCTGGCAATGCGCTTCATGCAGCACTGGCTCCGGGCCTGTGAGGATGAAAGGATCATCACAGAAACCCCTTCCGCCCCGAGGATGGAAGTTATTCTGGTATAGGGGTTATATGAGCCATAGTCTAAACTCTTTAAGGGGGTTCTAAAGGGGATTATATAGGGGACTACTATAGGGGTTATTAAGGGGGATACTAGGAGTTTAGACTATAGCTCATATAGGGGTGTATTATAGGGGTTTTGATTGAAGTTATGGGTAATTGTTGTGGTGCGAGGCATGAGGATCCCAATGGTTCTGGAAGATTAAAATAGAACCAAGGCTAATTTTTTTTTCTGTTTTGGCCGCTTTGAATCACCCATGCTTGTTGAGGTTATAGCAAGTGCGGAATATGTGAGAAACACGTGCAAGTCCTCTTTCATAGCCATCGTGCGAGGAGTCATTGTGGTCCTAGTCTCACCTCCCTGCTCTGCCAGAAGGACGCAGTTCTTCTGCTACTTCATGCGGCCCCTGACCCAGGCTCTCGGATACCAAGACTACCCAAACTTCAGACACCACAACGACGATCAATCTGCATTTTCACTGCTCTTCAAGACGCTTGGCCTAACTAAACCCTGCCCTCACCATCATGTCGCGGCTACAGACAGAGGGCAAGAGTCAAGGCAAAGCCCTGCTTACAGTACCAGATGCCATTCATAGCTCGGTGGCCTAGTAGAATCGATCACACCGCGCTAAAGGTCCCCAAAAAGTTGCCTTTTGCTCTAGATCGCGGCTGCAACTTGCAATTAGGAAGTACGGCTTCCACCCATTTTTGCAAGCAGAGCGTGATCTCTATGTGGTCGCCGCTCGCAACACCGCAAAGTTTGTGGCAGCCTCGCAGCTTGGCCAAGAAAGGCGAATGCAGCCTCTCCTGACACGATGCCCGCAGTCTCAGTTTGTTTCGAAGAATTGCCATGCACATCAGGGGCGGGTGCCTGAAGGGAGAGGGTGAGAAACCCTAATTATGATGACAGTAAATGACATGCAAAAGTCGTTCAGGATAGCATGTTTTCAACAACAACTGCTGCTGCTTCTGCCACCGCGGCTGCCGCTGCCGCAGCTGCCGCTGCTACTGCTACTGCTCCCGCCGCTGGAGGTTTTCGTGGCAGTGAGCTTGAAGGTGATCAATCATCGGGGTGACACGAAAGGGATTTGCCTTGACGGGGCCTCTGGCTGCTAGCTAGCCTCGGGTGATCATTAAACCCGAAATCCTTGACCATGTACGCTTTGCCCTGACTGGCTACAAGGGATGCTTTCGCATTGGGGAAGACCTGCTCTCAGGACGGGCTCATGTGCTTGGAGCAGCAGAAAACATAGCCAAAATAGTTTTGGAATACCATTTTGGGGGGTTCGTATGGGGTTATGGTTAGAGCCCCTCCTAATGTTTCCCTAGGGGTTTTGCGTTTATGGCTAGGTCACGTGCGAAAACAAGATTTGAGAAGGTACATTCAGCCAGCGTCTTACTATGCACCAGGATACAACCTAGGGCTTCAGGGTGCAGGACGCTATTGAACGATGAATGCGGTTTCTGTCCCTGGCAGGATGAGTATATCTCTGCTGCGAATGCTGCCGCAGAAAGCAAGTCTTAGCAGAAAAAAGTCGTTTGGCCTTGCTTCGTGCCACTGCTTACATGTTTGACTGGTTTGGAAATATCTCGAACAACAGCAAGACCTATCCATGATGATGTAAATACAATGTACAAACTAAGCAAGATGGACTTTTGGCGACGTGTAGCACCGATCAACCAATCAGAGCGAGGGTTCAGAAGAAATAGTGTTGCCCGTGTGGTCTTCCGACGGCAGCATTACGGTTTACGGACGTGGAGACGGAGGTCCTACTGTTCTGGCAGTCTGGGCCGTTGCTGCAACCCTCGTTTCAAAATTTTAAGCCTAGGCTGATTATCCAGATGACCCCAGCTGTGGATGTTGAGACAAATGGTGCCCGTTCGAGGGGAAGAATGCCATATAATGCCATCTCTGCTCCGGCTCCAGCAGCTTGGGGGGTACACTGCAACGCAGGACGCTTTACCGCCCTTCCGCCCGCCATGGCCTCTAAGTCGCGGCGCACGCAAAGACTTGCCTGGGCGGTGTTGCTTCGGCTTATAGAATTCCATTTGCACCTTTTGAGTTGAGTTTGGGCAGCTGGTCCACGGGGGCTGTTGCTCAGGTTTGCGGTCTTTCTGTCTGCGCAGTCTGGAGCTGAGCTGGGCCTGGACATGTCAACTGCACCATCTTGCCAAAACGTATAGGCTCATAGGCACCGGAGATAGAGAATCTGGTGTCTGAAAGCAACAGCAGCATCGAAATCTCGTTGGAACTCAGCTCCCTCCTTGAACTTCATGAATGCGCTCAGGCGTGCGGACTTTGCAAACCTCAACAGTTTACTCAAAATGTCAAGCCACATAATCTCTGAAGGTTCAAAGATTTGGCCGTTATCATATACTCAGCGAGCGCTAGGGCGCGACAGCTGCCAAAGACAGGTGTAAGGGACTGGCACCACCCGTCTGTCCAAACCCTAAATATAGCACCCTGCATACTCACAGTTTCCATTCTATTTTCCATGCTCTTTTCCATTTGATTCGCCGTTATTGGTGTTCCATTTGATTCTCTATATTGGTTACTTCCTTCAGAAGAATCTTGCAAGGTCCTTGGGCTTCATCGGCCTCGGCGCACGATCGCGCGCTCCCCGCATCTCACTCCGCGCAGTTTGCGCGCAGGCTCAGTAGCCACCAGGGTCATGTACTGTCCTTCAATTGAACATCCTTCAGCGCCTGTCGCCTTGCGTGTCTTCCTGAATCTTCAACTAGACGTAATTCTCAAACAGTTCGCCAACATTCCGAAAGTGCCTTGTGCGTATCTTGTACAGGTGAAGGAGCCACCCGCAGAAGGCCGGCCCCGGGCCTGCGGGAGTGGGCGTAGTACAGCACTCCAAGCAATACAGGGGCTATGCTTTTCAATGAAATCTAGAGTTAGGGACAAACATATATTTTAAAGGAGCCCCCAACGCTATCTTGTCACAGTCGCAATACCACCACTAGAAGGCAAGGGTGAGGAGGTAGCCTAGTGGATGAAGTTCAAACAAGAGTTCGTCCAGCCCATGGTGGCAGAGAAAGAGTCCATCGCACCACCCAGCTACGGCGCAATCTGCTCGCAATTCTCGTCCAGGCGATCGAGTTGTTGTTGATGGCAGCGATGGACCCATTGTGGCTTGGCATTCGTCTTGCTGTAGTGTGGGAGGTCCTGAGCTTGCGTCATACCGAAAGTATCAGTGTCGAACAGTGTTGTTGCTGCTGTTGAGCTTGTTGCCCGTGATGCGTGCCTCAAAGGAGGTGCAAGTCTTTGCGGCTCCAAGCGTCACTATTCAAACTCAGGTCGTCGCGAAGATCGATGGTAAGTACTACGCTGCGACCTGACAGCATATATAATCTCCTTTAGCAAGGCGAGCCTTAGTAGGGCGTACTGGTTGGTGGTAGAGCTGTCGAACCTTGGGCATCTCACTAACAGGTCATCACCGGGACTGCATGTGGTATGAGCAGGGATGCAGCATGCCAAATGCTCTAAACCAAGCGCGGAGTTAGGCAGGCGCATTGCGTGCGAAGCAGCATGAGGAGACCATGAAGCGATCGCCAGGTGTTGTGGGTCTTCGCGGTCTTAGTTTCAGAGGGGTGTCTTTCTGTGCCCGGGAATTGAAGGATTATGTGGGAGCTTTAAGTGAAGGTTTGTCTTCTCTTAATTTATCATGCCTTTTTTGAATAGCAATTTTGACCGTAACTTTAAAAAGTATCTAGAGGTGCAGCAGGCAACGCAGAACATTGGCTGCTGCAGGAGTAAAGCTAGCATAGGAATACCTGTGTTAAACGTCACAGCAGAAAGACAAAGCAGGGTCGGTTGCTATATGAGTAGTTCCCGAAAATAGGGTCACATTTGGTTATAAAGTATATATTAGCACCTAATAATTAGGGGTACCAAGATGGGACCCTAACCTTCGGCATTACCTATATAATGCCAAAACGAGACTGTCGCACCCCCCATTTGGCTCATAGGCATGCAGTGCATCTGTTGCCTAAATCCGACCGAGCAGATGCACATTTTTGCGTTGTGATAAAACATCTCGCAGCCAGCCAGGCTGGCTCCTGCTATCTGCTGTCTCCTTCTGTAGAGGCAAAACTTGGACTACTAGCGTTCAACACCCACACTTCTAGCTCAGGTGGATGCGAAATGCCCACATCTCGGCCTTCCGATGAAGAAGGGCAAGATCGAGAATGGGTGCGCCCGCCCAGATGCAGAGCTTGATGTCCAAGGGGCTGTCTGCGGGGGAGTGGGAGAAAGCCTCAGCTGCAGAGCTACGTTGAAGGGCGAAGTTGGTGCTGGGTTTTGGTATTTACAGCAATTGTAAGAGACATTACCAGCCCTGAATCTGTAACAACTTGGTTTGGGGCTTCATGTTTAAGATCAATAAGTCCACGGGCGGGAGGTGGCTTAATTTCAGATCGATGCTTATGCAAGTGGATGTCAGATGTGCTTTCCAGGCCGGACGGCCCCAAGTTGACCTGCAACTTCCACAACTCCCAGCCGAGACCTCAAGAAACAACAAGTCATGAGCTGCAACGGCTCAGCGGTGCCCTTTGCTAAATTTGATGTTTTCGCAAATTGGCCCTGCGGGTGTGCCTAGAGATGCGTTGCGAGGGGCTGAGCAAATTCGGGGCGAACTTCCATCGCTGAACTAGGCATGGCATGGCTCAACTCGCAATAGGCAAAGGGGCGTAATCTTCAGCTCACAGCTCCTAGGGAAATAGCATGCCTCAAATATATGGCTGTTGCGGGCTTCTTATGTGGAGACATTTTAGAGCTTCCATGAGGTTCCTCAACATCGCAGCTTAAACGCTTATGTAATGTTCTGACTGAGTCAGGTTCAACATGAAGAACGGCCTATGCACCAGGCCCCCGGAAGCCTGCTGGGGGCATTGGCTGTGATATCTGTGATGTTGACTTGCGTTGTTCTATGTCCTCCCATTTTCACTGGTTCAAGCTGCCAGGTGGGTTACCGGCGCTCTTGGTTTCGAAAACGATTTCATTGCCGGAGTCATGCTGGTTACTCAGCTGGCAGGGCTGTTGAATGCGGCCTGGGTATCCAGACAACTTGCCGGGTTATGTGTTGCCCTTTTACTTCCGTGTGTGAAAGAATGTTGTCCATTCCAGGCTCCAGCTGAGCCACGTTTGTTTTTTTTTTGCGCTTGTCTACCGATACTTACATACGGAAATAACTCCTGGGATCTC